AAGAACCTAGAAAGGGCTCCGAATTCCATTCTGAGCTGAAGAAAAATTCCCTTATCTTGTAGGGATAAGGTTCTTTTGAACTTTATGTATGCTTTATTTTTTTGGTATTTCAGGTTTAACAATCTATGGATATAGTTACCATGGCAAACTGCATTTTCTTTTTCTTGTGTGTATAGGGACGTAAAGACTTAAGCATTCTTCGACAGCTTTTTTGAAAGTAATGTACATATTTATTAAATCCAAGTGTTTTAAGATCTTATGCCAATTTATTGAGTCGACGAAGTTGTTTATGGCAACATAATTGGCCTTGACGAAGTTATAGTATAGTTCCGGTTCAGAAGGAGCACTGTTGAATCTATAAAAAGAAAAACTAATCACTAGGGCCTTATGATGAACAGATTGATAAGTCAGAGGTGAGTAGCATCTTAAGATCTTATAGACTGGATCATTACTTATGAAAATTAAATCTAATATTCTATCGAGATCGTTGGCGATATTATTTATTTGAAATAACTTGAGCGAATATAAAGAGTCGCATAGTAGACATTCTGAATTTTTTTTTAAGTTGAATGGAGTTAAAATGAGATCTTCAACATTAAATATCCATTGACTGTTACCTAAGTTGAAGTCTCCCATAATACAATGTGCCTGGAAGGGCTGTAAAGAACTTACGAGGGCATTTATGTTGCTAATATGGGTTTGATACATTACGTAGTCGCTATTGGGCGGAATATAACTAATGACAAACATTATCTCATTTACTCCATCTTCACGTGGATCTCCAATATTAACAGCAACACACATTTGCTCGGGGAGAGTGTCTGTTTGCATAAGACACACTTCACGGCTAGCGAATTTAGTTGACACCGTAATGAGAACCCCTCCACCTCTTGTAACACCCGAGTTCGGACGACAGAAAATCTGCTGTCAACCATGTCTCAACTAAGATGATAATATATAATATTTGGATATTGGGTGTTATGCGATTAGGATAAGTATCCGAATCGGTTGGCGGGCCAAAGCTCTGCGTTCAGTAACTTTCCGCAAAGCGATTCCGTGACACCCAGCTTAAAATTAACCCGCGTCAGGGAGTCCGTCGATACATCCCGTTTAATGAGCTTGAAGCATGATAACGATTGCTTGTCAATGCCTGTATGTCTGGCCACATAGTTAATTACCTCTTCTGGTTCAACTTTCGGTAGAAAAGAAGACAAATATAGCCATTTGAAGCGAGAGGCGACGCCCAGCTCAGAGCTTTTGTTAGCACCAACAACACGCATTCCATGTTTATGTTTATCATTCGTTTTGTTTACAACAACGCTGTCTGAGCTATGATTATTATCGATGTTTTGATCGCCTTTCTTCACAGTGTTACTAGCCGACGCCGCTGCCTGAGTCGAATATGCCATGGGTGCCAAAGCGGAGTCCCGCTCGTATCAGCAACACTAGCAGAGGCGGCAGAACAAGAGATTATATGCGTGGGCGTATTCAGAGTACGCGCAGTAGAACTAGCATCGAAGTCGTTGACGCCCGCGGCAGCAGTAATTATCTCTTTTATGTAACTGTTCGCCTTTTGCTTTATGTTAAGAAAGTCGCGTATATACGTGCGAAGGCTTTGGACCTCATCAGTCAGCGATGAAATGGCACACTCCTTATCGTGGAGCTTACTTTGTAAAGAGCACAGCTCTGTACGAAGATCTTCAGTAGTTTTAGCAAGAGTAAGCATATCTATGACTTGCGCTGAATTTAGTAACCAAACTAAAGAACAAGACTCCACTTCCCTCCATTTTCAAAGTTTAGCCAACAAAGTAAAGGAGTCCGGCTGTCCATGAATGCTGTAAACGAGATTGAGGCGAAAGTGTCTGCTCTGGTTTTTGCGGAGATGCAGAACTATTCTTCAATTGAATTTTAAAAATTTGTTTTGCAACGTTTTACCTAATGCATTCCAATAAAAGTACAATCATATCATATCGCACACGATCTTCAACGGTGACGCGGCTCAAAATAACACGTTTGCCAGAAACTGCGAAAAACGACTTTAGACTTTACCAAAGGGTCTTTTCAACAAATTATAACAAGAATGTGCTCCAGCTTTTGCTCAAAGGTAAATAAAAGCTCTGCGTACATTTTTGGCGCAAAATTTCAAAAATTACAAATTGTGAATTGTGTCACTTTTGAAGATCGTGTGCGATATGCATTAAAAAGATCTCAAAATGGTTGTACTTGGTAATTTAAATTAAAATATTTATGTATACCCTTGTCTTCGGCTAATTAGTTACGTTTTGACCACATTTGGCAATATTACTTTCGTTTATTTAATGCTTCTTTTTATAAAAATCCAGAGCTTATTTCGAGGTGTCGATATATTTAAAAACCGTCATTTAAATCCAAATTTCCAACTTTGTAAAAAAATTTAAAACTCAACAAACTTTACTAATTTTCCCAAAAATTTCAAACTTATTTAAAATTTTGAGAAAAATTTTAGCTATGCAATTTTATAGCCCATTCCATTTTTTAGTATAAGGTGAAATTTCAAGACGCTGAAAAATCGCGTTAAGTTTTAATATTTTTTTTGCTGACGGTGGTGGGCATTTTCTTCCATATAAAAGAAATTTCGTCAGCAAAAAAAAATCATTAAAAATCAACGAGATTTTCCAGCGTCTTGAAATTGCACCTTATACTAAAAAATGGAATGAGCTATAAAACTGCATACCTTAGCAAAGTTTGTTGAGTTTTGAAATTTTTTAGACATTGAACAACCGGCCCTAAATAAACGAATGAAATATTGCCAAAACTGGTCAAAAAGTAACTAACTCAATCAGCTGACAAGTGTAAGTACAATTATATATGTTAAAAACATCTCAAAATGGTTGTAGACCAACTAATTAATGTAGGTATAAGTACCTGAAAATTAAAAAAAAGTCTTTTGACAGTTTCAATTAAAGTACAAACTATTACTTCTCTGGATAAGATTACTAATTAAAAATATTAATACTTTTACTTACTTAATTCCAATAAGTATAAAAATATGAGTATAAATTATATATGTTAAAAACATATAAAAATAGTTGTAGAACAACTTATTAATTTATGTATAAGTACCTGGAAACTAAAAAAAAAGTCTTTTGCCAGTTCCAGTTAAAGTACAAACATATTCTTAATTTATTTATAAAAAAATTCTTAATTTATGAAATATTAATAAAATACGTTTTTACAGTTGAAATATGTACCTAAATTTTTATTTATAAGTATTTAAATACACATTTTTACATATACATATGCACATATCAGTAGTATTACAGGCTAACCTAATATTCACGCACGCCGCCAATTTATTGTCAAAAATTTCTCATGCACATGCAACTTGTATGAGATCAACCGAAATTGAACGGCGTGCGTATGAAGCTAACTCAATTTCCAATTTTTGTTCTGCGTGACATTTTGATTTGACGTTTCGCTCAATGAAATCAAATGCAAACGCATGCAAGTCAATTTCGGGTGACGCAAAAAAACAAATTCGACGGCATGCGTACCAAAACGCAAGCCGCGAATATTAGGTTAGCCTGTTAGGTACAAAAATATGCAGGCCTTTTCTGCTGACCAAATTTGTCGGAATTGAAATGTCAAAAAGTCCTGTTTAATTTTATTTAAATATCTTCATGTTTTTTTCCTTGAAATACAAATATCGTTACCTTAATACACAATGGCCCTAATCAACATTTTTTTTAATTTAAAAATAGTATAAAAAGAATATCAAAAACCGGTAGGGCTTTTTAAAAAGTGGCATGTAACTCCGTTGTTTTTGGTGCTAACACTTTAAAATTTTAATTAAGTGTATTTTAATAGCTATATCTTACCAAAATCTGTGAAAAACGCAGTTTCGTAAAAAGTGTTGGTTAGGGCCTTTGTGGATTAAGGTAACGATATTCTGATTTCGAAAAGATGATAGTTTTTCCAAAATCATCCTTTTACAATTCAAAAGCTACTTTTACAGTACAAAAGTTATACACTCACGGAAAAAAGTATTTTCACAGAGAATTTGTAATAATGTATGCAAAAAATTCTATTTTAATTGTTTTCGTTGATGTCTTATAAAAATATGCAACAAAAATAATTAAAGCTGTAATTTCTAAGCTTTGTGCAAAACTCAGGAACATTTAAATAATGGTCAACTTTGTAATTCGATTTTTTATATTTTTTTTAGCACGCGTTTTTGTAGCCCATCCAATTTTAATATAAAGTGCAAGTATGAAGTTTTTAAAATATCGCGTTGATTTATGGCAATTTCTTCACACATTTTCTTCAATACAAAAAACATTTTCGAATGTGTAAAAAAATTGCCATAAATCAACGCGATATTTTAAAAACTTCAAACTTGCACTTTATATTAAAAGTGGATGGGATACAAAAATGCGTGCTCGAAAAAATTATAAAAAATCGAATTACAAAGTTGAACATTATTTAAATGTTCCTGAGTTTTGCACAAAGCTTAGAAATTAAAGCTTTAATGTTTTTTGTTGCATATTTTTATAAAACATTAACGAAAACAATTAAAATAGAATTTTTTGCATACATTATTAAAAATTCTCTGTGAAAATACTTTTTTCCGTGAGTGTATGTAATGACTCACATAATCGTTCGCAAAACCATATTATACAGTACTCGAAAAGATTGTAGAGTTAAAATTGTTTGCAATTTTTCANACATATACAGTACTCGAAAAGATTGTAGAGTTAAAATTGTTTGCAATTTTTCANGAACATTATTTAAATGTTCCTGAGTTTTGCACAAAGCTTAGAAATTAAAGCTTTAATGTTTTTTGTTGCATATTTTTATAAAACATTAACGAAAACAATTAAAATAGAATTTTTTGCATACATTATTAAAAATTCTCTGTGAAAATACTTTTTTCCGTGAGTGTATGTAATGACTCACATAATCGTTCGCAAAAACATATACAGTACTCGAAAAGATTGTAGAGTTAAAATTGTTTGCAATTTTTCATAAAATTAAGCTCATAACATGATACCATATTTATCAAAGGTTCAAACTTTATAAAAAATTTAGAAAGCTACAATTTTTTTAATTTCCAAGCAAAAAAACTGTAAACCCAAAAGCTCTGGAAACTCGTTTAAAAAGTTAGAAATTTCAATAGAATTATGTAGTTTTTCTAAATTTTGTATAAAGTTTGAACCTTTGATAAATATGGTGTATCATGTTATGAGCTTAATTTTATGAAAAATTGCAAACAATTTTAACTCTAAAATCTTTGCGAGTATTGTATAATATGGTTTTGCGAACGATTATTTGAGTCACTATATATAATATAGGCTAAAAAGCTTAGGTATGTGTGAGATAAACAAACCATAATGTTTAAAAACTTGTTCGTATAAATTCTTTAAGAATATTTCGTAATTCAAAGGCATATGAAGAAGAACGGTTTACTGCTCCCTGACGACAAGAATCTAATGGATTCACTTCATTTCTCCACTGGCCATGAATCTCTCGGTTATTTTCATTTCGATCTACCAACTAAAGCGTGAAGTAGTTTCGATCGTTTTGTAGCATCAGAAAGTTGTGTAGAAGGACTGTAGCTAAGCCTATTTTGTCTGCATTCTTTGGGCAAGCTGATATATTTGTATGAAGTATTCGCCAACGATTTGATAGAATGCCAAATGAATTCTCTATGTGTACCCGAGCTTTGGATAGTACCATATTGAACTTTTCCTTATCTGCCGGCAAATTACTACCTGGAAAAGGTCGCATTAAATTGGCCTTAAGTGGAAATGCGCTATCACCAACAAAGTAATATGGAAAACTGCACGATGTTCCCGGCAAATTAACTTCACGAGGCACTTCTAAAGTTCCGTTTAACAATTTCTTTCCGAAAGCACTTTGCGCGAGCATGCCGCCATCACTCTGACTTCCCAAAGCCCCGACATCTACGTAAGTAAAAACATAATTTGCATCGCATGCCGCCAGCAGTACAATGCTATAAGTCTTCTTATAGTTGTAATATAAGGAGCCACTGTTTGATGGACGGACAATATTTATATGTTTTCCATCAATTGCTCCTAAACAATTCGGCATTCCAGTTTTTACAANCCACTGTTTGATGGACGGACAATATTTATATGTTTTCCATCAATTGCTGCTAAACAATTCGGCATTCCAGTTTTTACAACAAATTTTTCAGCTATTAATACTTGTTCCGATCGGTTTGGAGTAGATAGATATATATCATGAAGCTCATTCCAAATAGCGTCGCATGTTTCGTAAATAACTTGTTTTACAGTAGATATACCCATTTTGAATGTCCATGCATTTACATTGAAGTTGCACCCCTGAGCTGAAATTAATTACGTACATATTTACAAAAACATTCATGCTTGATACGGTATCCGACGGATGCTATCCGCTCAGATCTCGTCCTATTCGCATTATCCTAACCATTGATTTAAAGACTTAAATTCATGCAACTGGCATCCTTCGGATACATGCCTGTTCCAGTCCGACGGATGCCATTCGCATGAATCTAAGTCTTTAAAATCACTCGTTAGGACATTGCGAATAGGAATAGATCCGTGCGGATAGCATNGGATCTCGTCCTATTCGCATTATCCTAACCATTGATTTAAAGACTTAAATTGATGCAACTGGCATCCTTCGGATACATGCCTGTTCCAGTCCGACGGATGCCATTCGCATGAATCTAAGTCTTTAAAATCACTCGTTAGGACATTGCGAATAGGAATAGATCCGTGCGGATAGCATCCGTCGGATACCGTAACAGGCATGATTAATGCCGGTTTTCTTACGTTCTTCATTTTGTTACATTAATGTTAAAGCCAAACGTGTTTCAGGACATATTGGTTTTCTGTTTGAGAACCGGCGCAGTCTCTCCTGCAGTAGTGTCAGCAACAAATTGAAGTTTTTGACCGTCATTCGCGTGACTTTATAAAAATGCTCCTCATCCTTTTGCTGCAACTGCTGAATGCATGTCCTGAAGAAGCCTTCCTCTTCTCGCGTATGGTTTGCAGGACGAACCCACCATCTCCTATTGTTGTTACACATTTTGAAAGTTTCGTTTGCTAGATGCACAATATGTGATATTTTAGTAATCGCAATCACAAAGTTATTTAAATTTTTTAGTTTCTCCATTTTACATATATTTAATTTTAAACTTTTCGTGAATTGTCCCGCTCTTTATGAAAATTGTAAAGGCAATAACAGCTGTTCCTCGCAACGTTGCTGTCGCTGCCATTATAATCCAGTTGCCTAAACTTGGCTACACTTGTCGACGAAATTTTTTTATTGTCGTGACGCTCTGTTGCCACTGTCTTCACTTTAAGTGCGTGAATATCCGCATATTCATGCGAAGTATACTGCGTGTTCTCTGTCATAGTATTAATAACACAATGTTCGAAGGGTCCAATTTCACAAAATCAACTTTCACTAATTCCGGTAAGTAACATAAAATAATGTCAGGAGCAGGTAATAATGTACCTTTGTACTATTTAGCATGTCATTGGTCGTTAACAAGAGCAACTTAAATTTAAATCTATTAAATACATTCTATCGTGTCTCAGTCCTTTACCCACAAAAGCGCCTATAACTTTTTTTTCTATTTGAAACAGTAAGAGTGGCACCTTTCTGAAATCTTTATTAAATGCGCAATTTTTTTATGTAATGTAAAGTTGTAGCTCCGTACATTTTTTTTCACCAGAAATATGCAAAGTTTGGGAAGAAAATAAGAAAAAGTTAAAAATCACAAAATAGTCATAATTTTATGATGGTTCCTTAATATATTTTAACTACATTGCATTTGAGTATGGAGAAGCAACTATCTGGAAGTATTTTACATAAAAAATTTACTAAGTATAGCCTGGTTTGTAGATGCTGTTAAAGAAAATACATGAAAAGGCACGTTTTTTTTAAGTAAAAAAAATTTAAATATTTCAAAAACGGTAACACTTTTACCTGAAAGTTTTTTATTTATCAGAGAGCTCACCCCCCACCTACCTTCCCCTAAAGTTTGGTAGGTTACTTCTGGGACACGCTGTATGTGTTGTGTACATGTTTATTTATAAACGTATGTGTTGATATATCTGTACTGTAGTGTTTTCGAGTATTACATATATGTGACAATATGAAAGTTTTAAACGTTCCATAATTAAATTGTGCGCCACTTGTATCAACTCAAGTCGAGCGCACGTTTAGTACATTCAAGGCTTTTATTCGCGAAAATCGAATGAAAATGTTTTAAAATGCATCTTGTTATTCAATGTTACTCAAACTATTGATATTAAAGTTTTGTGAGTTTAAAACTTAAAAGGAGAAAATAGTCAAAGACTTAAAGTAAACATTTTTCATATAATGAAACTAGTTCATAGTTTTTAACTTTTTACTTGTAAAATAAACATTTCTAAAATAAATGTATTTTTTGATTATTTTTCGCTTTTGTCTTTTTAGTGCCTTTTATTTTGACTTGTCTATCCTAGTTCGTTTTTTTATTTTGCCTTTTTAAACGTTTTTAAGTCCGTTTAAGTTTAAAATCCGTTCCCCGCTTATAAGGTATCATTGCAAAGGTATTTTCTCACTCGTTTTATTTGTTTGCTTAATTTAATTCAAAGCATTAACAAGTGTCATTTCAAGTTTAATTAAGATGTGTTGATATTTGAAANGTAGCTCCGTACATTTTTTTTCACCAGAAATATGCAAAGTTTGGGAAGAAAATAAGAAAAAGTTAAAAATCACAAAATAGTCATAATTTTATGATGGTTCCTTAATATATTTTAACTACATTGCATTTGAGTATGGAGAAGCAACTATCTGGAAGTATTTTACATAAAAAATTTACTAAGTATAGCCTGGTTTGTAGATGCTGTTAAAGAAAATACATGAAAAGGCACGTTTTTTTTAAGTAAAAAAAATTTAAATATTTCAAAAACGGTAACACTTTTACCTGAAAGTTTTTTATTTATCAGAGAGCTCACCCCCCACCTACCTTCCCCTAAAGTTTGGTAGGTTACTTCTGGGACACGCTGTATGTGTTGTGTACATGTTTATTTATAAACGTATGTGTTGATATATCTGTACTGTAGTGTTTTCGAGTATTACATATATGTGACAATATGAAAGTTTTAAACGTTCCATAATTAAATTGTGCGCCACTTGTATCAACTCAAGTCGAGCGCACGTTTAGTACATTCAAGGCTTTTATTCGCGAAAATCGAATGAAAATGTTTTAAAATGCATCTTGTTATTCAATGTTACTCAAACTATTGATATTAAAGTTTTGTGAGTTTAAAACTTAAAAGGAGAAAATAGTCAAAGACTTAAAGTAAACATTTTTCATATAATGAAACTAGTTCATAGTTTTTAACTTTTTACTTGTAAAATAAATGTATTTTTTGATTATTTTTCGCTTTTGTCTTTTTAGTGCCTTTTTGCGGTTTCTATTGCCTTTTGCTGCTTATTTCGTTGTTTTATTTTGACTTGTCTATCCTAGTTCGTTTTTTTATTTTGCCTTTTTAAACGTTTTTAAGTCCGTTTAAGTTTAAAATCCGTTCCCCGCTTATAAGGTATCATTGCAAAGGTATTTTCTCACTCGTTTTATTTGTTTGCTTAATTTAATTCAAAGCATTAACAAGTGTCATTTCAAGTTTAATTAAGATGTGTTGATATTTGAAAAACTTAAAAATTGGGACATGAGTTTTTTTGCAAAGAAATCCTTTCCACTGATACCTCATAAATCTAAATCGGTATAGTTTGGGTCCATTTATTTAAGTTTTTCTTAAACCAATCTTTGAAAGTTAAAAAAAACAGCATAAAAAATCTTATTATTATCATTCCGTTGAATATTGTTTAAATAATTTTATGCAGATTTTTTAAGTGTCAACTGTTTTATCGTCCGAAGGAATTTTTTGAAAAAATCTTTTAAGAAACTATTTTTTTGATACCAAACAACATTTTTGGAGGTATTTTCAAATCGGTCCAACTCAAGTAAATCTTAATATTTTTCCTAAATATTTTGGTGGAAGTCTGCAAATATAATACATTTTGTAATTTCGGCGGAAAAACTGCAACTTTTTTGGTGGTGCAGTCTAATGTACATACAGTGGCGGCAGAAATAATAGACTCGCCTTACTTTCAAGAGTTTTGCCTGTATTTCTTTAGTTTATTTTATGTTTAATATTTTTTTATAAAAGCCCTGATAGTTATACAATAAACATATAAATCCGCTTTTGAACTTTGAACAAAAATTATAAAAATTCGACAAATCTTCACCAAATTTTCAGCGAAAAAAAATCTTAAAAATCCATGGTATTTTATAGCCGTTCGAAACTTGCATATTATTATAACAAAATTGAATGGGCTACAAAACTGCGTACCGAAACTTTTTCGAAAAATTTGTCGAATTTTTATAAATTTGTGTTCAAAGTTTAAAAAGTGGATTTATATGATGTTTGTTGTATACCACCGAGGCTTTTATAAAAAAATATTAAAAATTAAATAAAATAAAGAAATATAGGCAAAACTCTTGAAAGTAAGGCGGGTCTATTATTTCTGCCGCCAGTGTATGTACATACATATCGTCACCTAAAATGCAAAATAACGTAACATCGCCATTGAAATGGAAAAAGTCGTGACTAATTGTTATTATTATTTTTTTTTCATAAAACGATGTGGGCAGTTGTAATTTCATGAAATCCATCATAGCAATCAGAAAGTGAATTTTGAATTTTTTATAAGTTACAACTTTTTGCATTTCAGTCACGATGATGTTACGTTATTTTGCATTTCAGGCGACGATATGAATCGTCGTTTCGAGTACAAAACGGCGTATCAACAAAATGCAAATCCGCGTATAAAGAAAATGCAAAACCGCGTATGTGAGGTTGCATAAATTATTTTTTAGAGAGTAAAAACACTCATATTTCAAAATGGTTCTCTCTTTTATAAAGAAATCGCATTTATGGCTAGTATATTTCAGGACGAATGGATAAGGATTGCGCCAAGGGCTTGTGTGAGCAAATCCAATTTTTGGCAGCCAGTGTCAGTTACGCGGTTTTGCAGAATGGCGATTTGCGGGTTTGTACTTTAAACGACGGTATGTATGTATACCTTAACAATATGTGCCAACAAGCAGAATTTGCATAGATACATACATACCTTAATTGTTTTACCATGAAACTGGGTTTGTTTTTAATATAATAGGATGACCGTCTAATCGTAATTATTACACATTTTAAAACTCCAAAAAGATACCATAAAGGATCGTCTGAAAAGACTAAATCCATTAAAAATAATAGAAATTCCCATCTCAAAATGGCATCAATTATATTTTGTTAATACCAATGTGGCCAGACTGATTTGAAATGTACAGTTTATGAAACTTCAAAAATGCCCGTATCAATCAAAAAAAAAAAAGTCTAAAGTGAAACTACCTTCTATTTTTTATCATGCTCTACTTCNTCATCTCAAAATAGCATCAATTATATTTTGTTAATACCAATGTGGCCAGACTGATTTGAAATGTACAGTTTATGAAACTTCAAAAATGCCCGTATCAATCAAAAAAGTCTAAAGTGAAACTACCTTCTATTTTTTATCATGCTCTACTTCATATAAACTTCGACTAAATTTGTTTCATATTACAAGGTTGGCAATTCCGATTTCTTATAGAAATGGTTTTGTCTTTTTCTACCTCACAGCTTTTCTAACAGTTGTAGATTATTGAGAATAGCGCAGATTAAGCCAATAGGTAAATGATATTCGAAATAAAATAGTAGACTTTTTATTTGAGAAAATATAGTTCGCTTTTATGGGACGTTTCTTTATTTGGTGTTAACCGCTTGAAAAATTGTCGCAGAATGTAAGAAACCAGTATGCTATATGTGAGTGCGTTCACAAACCAGTGTTGTCCAATGTATCGACTTTGTTTGGTACAAAGTATATTGTGGCGAATACTGCGGCAACAAAGTCGAGGCTAAGATGGGCGAGTTGGAAGGTCGACTCCGAGACTTGCAGTTGAATCGTCCAGCTACTTCGACGAACGCTCCCAAGGTAAAGACTCCATCCTTTGACGGCACAATTCCTTTCCAGGTCTTTAAACTCCAAAAACCGGCTGCAGCAAATCATTGGAGCATGGAGGATAATTCCGCTGCACTATTCCTTGCATTGAAAGGACCTGCAGCAGAAATCTTGCAGACTATTCCCGACTGTGAAAGGAACAGTTACGATGCGTTGATGAGTTCCGTGGAGAGACGTTACGGTAGCGAGCACAGGAGACAGATTTACCAGATGGAGCTGGAGAACCGCTGCCAAAAAGCCAACAAGACTCTACAAGAATTCGCCTCAGAGATCGAGAGGTTGGCTCACTTGGCTATTGNGTTCGCTTTTATGGGACGTTTCTTTATTTGGTGTTAACCGCTTGAAAAATTGTCGCAGAATGTAAGAAACCAGTATGCTATATGTGAGTGCGTTCACAAACCAGTGTTGTCCAATGTATCGACTTTGTTTGGTACAAAGTATATTGTGGCGAATACTGCGGCAACAAAGTCGAGGCTAAGATGGGCGAGTTGGAAGGTCGACTCCGAGACTTGCAGTTGAATCGTCCAGCTACTTCGACGAACGCTCCCAAGGTAAAGACTCCATCCTTTGACGGCACAATTCCTTTCCAGGTCTTTAAACTCCAAAAACCGGCTGCAGCAAATCATTGGAGCATGGAGGATAATTCCGCTGCACTATTCCTTGCATTGAAAGGACCTGCAGCAGAAATCTTGCAGACTATTCCCGACTGTGAAAGGAACAGTTACGATGCGTTGATGAGTTCCGTGGAGAGACGTTACGGTAGCGAGCACAGGAGACAGATTTACCAGATGGAGCTGGAGAACCGCTGCCAAAAAGCCAACAAGACTCTACAAGAATTCGCCTCAGAGATCGAGAGGTTGGCTCACTTGGCTATTGGAGACGCATCTGGTGAGCACCTCGAAAGGGTAAAAATCCAGATATTCATCAACGGAATGCGGGACGTGTATACCAAGCGAGAGACGTACGCGAATCCAAAGCCTACATTTGCTGAAACTGTCTCGTATGCTCAGACACGTGAAACGGTAGCACTCCTAAGTAGGCCAGCCTACAAAGCCCATCGAGTGGAAGTGGAGACACCGGACGAGCCAAAGGAAATGCTGAAGAAGCGAATCCAACTGCTGGCATGGCTCTGGCAAATGTTTTAAATGTGCTAAAGGCAGTGCAGCACGAAGGCGGCAGTCTGGGTGTCATGGACAGATGATGCGGCATAGATCTGGCGAAAAGAGTGCCCACGAGAAGACACATGTCTGGTCACGCCCAGTGGCCAGCAGAAGCACGACCATGTGAGATGGTGCACACCCGGAGATAAGCCGGAAGCAATGTCCAGTAACACATTGTGGTTGTACATGTCGCAGCAGAAGAAAAGCTTCACCTTCACGCAAAGACGTGACTGGAAAGATCCGTTTAAGATTGACAAACGGCTGAAAGACGCAGTGCATCGAATCCAGACAATGGGGAGACCGAGGACCAAGATGAAAGTGGTCCACTTGGAAAGACTTGCAGCGGTTGGAGCGACAAGTGTGTCTGATCGGGACGATCAGACTTAGGTGGAGTGCCGTGTGGCGAATACAGCGGCAACGTGAAGCGAACAACGAGAAATAGGCAGAATGTTCCACAACGAGAAACATCAAGTTGGATGAACACTGCGAACAGCGAGAGAAGGAGAATGAGCGATGAACTTCAGAACATTCTAGAGTTGCCATGAGTGCGAGCGCAGGTATATAAGAGCCATGACACAGCGGAGTTGAGTTAATTACAAGTCAGCAAGCTAGAAGTAAAGTGAGTTGCAAATAAGCAAGCTTGTGTTAACTAGTTTTGTAAAGAGTTGTAATTTCTTAAACAAGTATTGTTAAGTGTTTGTTGTACAATAAAGTTAATTGTACTGTAATTTGGTTATCGTAAGCATTTATTTAACAATCCAGAGATACGAACCGAAAGTTTTGGGAAATCCGAACGAGTAGTCAAGGATAATCGCAACAATATTTCAACACTCCCACTCATTGTTGGAAACAAAACGAAAACTTATGATGTCAACTCCATCAAACCACAGAGATATTTATGTGAACTCTTATTCAACGGCTTGGTAAGAATGTCCGCTATTTGTTCATCAGTGCTAACATATCCTAAGTCGAAGCAACCATCTTGATACCTTTCTCTGATGAAATAGTATTGAACATGGATGTGTTTTGTTCTTTTGTGGAACACCGGATTTTTAATCAGTATTGCGCTTTGATTATCCATATACAATTTTGCATCCAAGTCTGATCTCAATAACAGTCCACCCACGAGGCCCTTTAACCAGACCAGCTCCTTTATTGCTTGACATGCCGCAATAAACTCAGATTCTGTTGAAGATGTTGAAACAGATTGTTGCCTCATTGACGCCCAACTAATGACACCGAAGCCCATGCTGAAAACATAACCGCTTGTTGATCTTCTTGTTGCACTATCTCCAGCGTTGTCAGCATCGCTATATCCAACCAGATTCAGTTGAGTATCGCTTTTATAAAGGATACCCATTAGGATTGTGGCATAACTTATATCTGGACGTGTCCCGGTTGCCAAATACATTAAGCTTCCTACTGCTTCTCGGTAGGGGTAGGCTCTCTCCCTCGTCATTTACGAAATCGCCAATATTCTGATTGTGATCCATTGGTGTTGACACAATTTTGCATTCCATCATGCCAAACCGATTCAATATTTTCTTGGTATTAGCACCCTGGTGTATGTGTATTGATCCATCTTGAAGCTGTTGAACCTCGAGACCCAAAAACAATTTACATCCGAACCTTTCGCTTAGATGTGAAATGATTGCATCGACTTCANAACCCAAAAACGATTTACATCCGAACCTTTCGCTTAGATGTGAAATGATTGCATCGACTTCANTATTAGCACCCTGGTGTATGTGTATTGATCCATCTTGAAGCTGTTGAACCTCGAGACCCAAAAACAATTTACATCCGAACCTTTCGCTTAGATGTGAAATGATTGCATCGACTTCACCTTTGTCGTTGGTTACTATTAAACCATCATCCACGTAAATTTCAATTACTGTCATTGCACCATCTTTGTAGCGAGTGCGTCCAAATTGCTAACTTTGAAGTTGTATTTACGGAGAAACGACGTAAATTCCCCGTTCTAGCACCGTGACGCCTGCTTCAGACCATACAAACTTTTATTCAATTTACATACACGCCCACCGCCATCGTTATATCCGACCAGTTGTCTCATGAAAATACGTTCTTTCAGGTTTCCATACAGGAATACAGTCTTGACGTCAAACTGCTTTAACTGAATTTTATTCATTGCTGCCAATGATAAAATTGCGCGAATCGATGTGTACTTAACTACGGGGCTGAATTATTCCTCATAGTCCACATCATATTGTTGCGTGAAGCCACGAATTATCAAAGGAGTTTTGTATCTTTCGAATGAACCATCTGTATTCTCTTTCAATTTGAATACCCAGCGATTGTCGATAACCTTTTGGCTTTTAGGTGGTTCAACCAAATACCAGGTGTTGTTCTTGATTAACGAATTGTACTCTTCCTAAATTGCACGCTTCCACTGCTCTGCATTTGTCGATTGCATTGCCTCTTCATACGTTACCGGCTCAATCACGGCCGCAGAACATATAGTTTCAATCAAACGCCCTGGTGGCTTGATTTCTTGTCGTAATTCATACCTTTGGTTGTTTCTTTGGCCTACCCTGTCTTCTTGTGCGTCTTCAAAATGATCATCATCGCTGGTAACAGCTTCACTATTTGGTGCTTGATGCCGAATAATTACCTACTCTTCACTATCCCGAATTATGAACCTTTTTGAATCAACTTCATGGAAACGAACATCACAGCTGAGAAAGATCTTTTGGTTCTCCGGATCATATAAGCGAAAATTCTTGATGGTAGGCTCAAAACCAACTAAATTCACCTTTTTTGCCTTTGGATCCTTCTTCTTCTGACCCTTTTGCACTGGGACTTATATAAAACATTCAGTTCCAAAGATCTTGATATGACCCAAGTATGGTTTTCGACCAAACCACTTTTCGTATGGAGTGCTGCCAATGCACTCTATTTGTTGTACGATTCAACAAATATGTGGCTGTTCGTATCGCCTCCGGCCATAAAAACTTGGACAACCCGCTTGCACTTTCCTGAATGGTTCTATTTTCTCGTTCAACTCGACCATTCTGTTCCGGGGTATATGGTGTGATGTATACAATTTGAATGCCTTTATCGCTGAGTAACTTCTTGACCCTTTGATTCACAAATTCCGTCCCACTATCAAAACGAACGAATTTAATTTGAGCACCTTTCATATTGCGAGCCATGGGGATGAACGATTTCAAACATTCATGTACCTCATCCTTGGTTTTCAGCAAATACGTAAATCGAAAGGTTGTTGCTTCGTCTTTAATCAAAAAATAGTAATTGTAGCTTCTTTTGGGTTGTTTGTGTTTCCGACAGGGTAGGAGTATGATGTATTGTGGAACGATTTTCCGTCATCCCTTGTCAAATTTAGTTTGGAGACAAACCGGTTTGTCTTCAATCCAAATTTGACAAGGAATGACGGAAAATCGTTCCACAATACATAATAATTGTAGCCGCCAATTCCACACTCTTCCATGGGACCGCACACATCCATGTGTAAATACTCCCCTGTAATCGATGGACATTGTCGTTGAGGCAATCTTTTATGTGTTGATCTGGACATTTTACCGAATTGACAGTCTTTGCAGAAAAACTTTTCGCTGTACGACAGCTCGACACCCATTACTAGCCATCTTTATACATCTTTTTGATAGACTTAACATTGATATGACCCAGACGACGATGCCAATGTTGAAGTCATACAACCGCTACATTCATCTATGCGCAAACGAAAATCCATTCGGAGCTGATTCATTTTGTTAAGCTTACCGATTGCAACAATTCTGTTAGCTTTATCGATTATTCTGCAACAATTTTTGTCGATTAATACCAGGGACGTGAACCGGTTTAGAGCCGAACCGGTTTTGAACCGTAAAACCGCTTTTTTCTATTAATTAACTGAACCATTAACCGAACCGAAATTTTCCACATATGTTTGATCCGAACCGAAAACCGAGCCACTTTCTGTAAATGTTTAAAGGTTCGTTTCAACCAATTTTCAATAGATAAATGTACCCACTTTTTCTTCATTTTGTTAAACATGGTAATACTTACCATGTTTTTTACCATGTGGCAATACCAAATGTAAAGGCCACCCCACTTGACCCTTAACCTTGGGCGTTGTAGCACTTGACACTTGACACTTAAATTTGCGCCTTATTTTTTTGTTTTTCAAACCGTTGAACCGAACCGAAACCCCGGTTCAAAGGCCAAAAAAACCGCTTTAACGAACCAATCCAAAAGTGCAACAACGGTTCGAACCGTTGAACCGAACCGACCAAATTTTTCATCCGGTTCACGTCCCTGATTAATACAGTTGAACCTTTTTCCGTCAATAATGCAGTTGAAAAAAAATTTCCTTAAGCTTTGGTACGTATAAAACGTTTTCCAAACGACGTGGCTCCCACTGATTGTTTACCCTTGCATCGATTAGAATTGTGTGAATTCCACGTATTTCTAAGCTGAAGCGATCAGCTAACTTGACCGTTTTATTTCCGGTGTAATATTTTAACTCTGTAAACCATTCACGACGGGAAGTCAAGTGGCTTGATGCCCCGGAATCATCACACCAAAAATCTGATTTTGATTCTTCTTTTCCGTCCGAACTTACAACAGAAAACCATGAAACCTCATTGCCACCTGAATCTGCCTTCTTTGGATGCAAATTTGTGCTNAGTGGCTTGATGCCCCGGAATCAGCACACCAAAAATCTGATTTTGATTCTTCTTTTCCGTCCGAACTTACAACAGAAAACCATGAAACCTCATTGCCACCTGAATCTGCCTTCTTTGGATGCAAATTTGTGCTTTGCACATTTTTTGTCCTTTGCCCAATGTCCGGTCTGGCCACATGCATTGCATTTGATTTTCTTTTTTAAATCGTTTATGTTAAATTTTGATTTTGGTTTCAATTCAGTTCTTCGTTTATACAGTGCTGCAAACGCTGCATCTGATGCGGAGACCTGTTCTGCGCTAATGCGGCTTAAATGGTCCTCTTCTAACTGCAGTGATGACATCAACGTATCAAGTGTGCGGGTGTCTTTGGTATTATACCAAACCGTTTTGTTGTTGTTGAATTTAACCGGCAGACGCACCATTTTCAACGTGTCAGACAATTTCTCGGCTTGCTGCTCGATTTCAGATGCCAACTGGTTCACTTTGGCAAAGTATCCGGCGACATCATCCGCCATTTTGAGCGAGAAATATTACTCGTTAAGTGTCATTATGCGAATTGCGGAATTCTTTTCGTAGACACTGCGTCTTGTGCTGGTACTTTTCCTTGTATATTGTCGGTTAGACCTAATGTCCTAATGTACGCTGTTATTTGAAATTTCCATAGCCTATAATTTGAACCGTTTAATTTGTGTCCGACGAAGTTAATTATTTGAGTAAATATAAGACGATATTTTCGTTTTTCTTGGAATTCACTGTGTCGTCTTGCTTTTCTTGTAATTTGATGACGGCGATCGAATATACTTTTAGTGTATACCGTACGATAACTGGACGTAACGGGTAACCGTAACTTGCGTATATGCACACAATTGTGAAATACACCTGTTGTTTTACGGTGATGATTTTAATTAATTTTCCACCACAATTGTTTTTTTTTTTCAAAACTCTGTATACTCAGTCTCAATTTATTCCGATGCAAAAACTTTTCCATGTACGCTACGACGAGACGACTTGATGAAAAAAAAATGTGCATACACCTAATACTGCTCGACGACGTGATCTGATCTTAATTTATTCGATTGGAAGCTTCTTGGTCCATAACCTGTTGTAGATTATTGAGAATAGCGCAGATTAAGCCAATAGGTAAATGATATTCGAAATACAATAGTAGACTTTTTATTTGAGAAAATATACAGCCTCATTACGAGAGTCGTGCCGAATGCAAGTCGTTTTTCGAGAGTCGAATCGTATCGAAAATTTAGCGTCATTGCCTAAAATTTCCACTCGACTAGTGTATTAAAACGGAGGAACTTGGCAGCACTGCATAGTTTTCGACAATTTTCGTCGTTTACTTATTTCAGCAGAGTGGAGTGGAGCGCAATGGGGTATAGTCATTGCGCTGGGTATGCAGTTACAGTTGCATGGCTATACTCAATCCCGACTCTTGCGTCCTCGTTCGCGCACTCTGGGCAACGTGACCAACCCATGTGCGAGATGCGGTAACCAATCCGAGTGGAGCCTTGGGTCACGGCAGAAAGAGAGGGAGCTTCGGTGGGGCCACTCTGACTTATTCGGTTTAAGGGC